TCTTTTTTGAACTTCGAGGCTTTTAACCCTGTTTATATGCTCATCATTTTGCAGAATCTCTGAACAACACATTTGCAGGTCAGTTAATCTGTCTGACATCTGCTTACGCATTGTTTATATGCTTTTTGTTATGGTCCATGTGAGTTGGTTTATGTTATTTTTCCTGTTAAAACACTGAAATTGGGGAAAAAAGTCATCCCTTTCCTTTCTAAGAATATATCATCAATCACAAGAAATAAGACAGATTTAAAAACCTGACCCCTCAGGCCCTCACTGGTTCTGCGTAAATAATTTTTTTCATGCAGGTTGCGGTAAAAATGATCCAGAGGTACATGCAGAATTGAAGAAAAATGTTACGGAATTACTAAATGAGGAGCTGGAATTACTTGAGATGGTAACCAATGATACATTACAACACTCAGCAGCAGTACTTTTGGAAACCAGAAGACATGCTTTGGACTACAGAAAAGAAGCAGAAAAGTGCAATGCAGGAGTAGAAAGCTGCGAGCTAGCAAGGGAGAGAGCTGAAGCAGAACTAAGAGAGGAGAAGAAACTTACAGCATTGTGGAAGCAACGTGCACGTAAATTTCATAGACCGAAAAAATGTGTGTGCATATACATATAATTGTTCAGCAAACAGGTGTATCTCAAGATGTTAATATGATCACTTGTTCTTCGGTCTTTGAAGCAAAAAACTTGGATTTTTTTAGTTATTTTCTCTTGTAAAGCTTATCTTCATGCTACTTCCTAATTGGGAAAAAATGGAAAAATCACTTTTATTTTATTTTCACCATAAAGGGAGAGATTTGTTGTTCCAAATGTTAACATTGCTTGATGAGAGAAAAAAAAAAAAAAAAAGGTGGCAGAGGTTTTACAATGTATTTAATGGAACTGCTGCAAAATTACTAGTCAAATGGCAAGGACAAATTGCTTAGACTGTAGTCCTGTATGGAAGTCAAATAAAGAAGACTGGATTTGACTTGTAAATTGACATTGGTCATAACAGAGAGGCTTGGTTCTTCATGTCAAATATATACTATCCAAGACTGCAAATCCTGCTGCAACCCCACCTTCATTGGATGATGATAACTTGGTTCGCATCAAGTAGCCACACTGGTTATTCAGTATCACCTTCTCCTTGTTCCTGAAAATGCCAAGAAAATGAAGTGCATACCAGAATGAGAATCATTTATTAAAGAGGAAAGCTCAATGCCAGGGGCAAAGCCATAGGAGGAGATTAAAATGCAATAAAAAAAATCAGTTCAATATCATTGTACTTTCTTTCCCCTCCACTGTCATTGTGGTTGGCAGGGCAGAGTGAGCAAGATTAGAATTTACTAATGTAAGTAAAAGAGTTCCAACACCATGAGGCAAAACACTGGAACTATGACAAGAATGTACCTTAAGTAAGCACTGTATATGCCAAGTTCTGATATGGCATGATCTTTGTGGTAAATGCCATCACGCATCAAATATGTAAGAGATACAGTTGGGAAGATCCTTTGCATAAGTATGTAAGCAGCATCTTCTTCAGATCCTTCCTTCTGCAACCTTAGAAGGGTTTCCCTCACATCATCACCATATATATTGTTCCCTGAAGTGGAATGAAGAAGATTCAATTCTCAACAATAAGGATATGAAAAGCAAGACTGATAGAGAAAAGTCAAGAGATATGGGACCTCCGCCTTCTCTTTGGGGCTTAATCACAAACAACTCAGGTTGTTCAATTGCTTTCCTGATAATTTCTGAATCGTCCAAACTCCACAAGCCAGCAAAGCATTCACGAACTTTGGCAATATCCTCTTTGTTCTCAAGGAACCTGTTCAAATGGAGGATAAACAAATATATATATATATATATATATATGGGAAATCAGAAAATAAATGTACATGCTCTACCATTCAATTCCATGATCCTAGTTAAACAAATTTATAGGTCATTCTGCTTCCAGGCCAAAGCAGGAGAAACCAACATACAGACCCACTCCCTAATACTGATTAATGGGGTCAGAGAGTACATATATTTTGCTTATGTGCAGAAACATTATGATTACTATTTTAAATAAAATGAAAATTTCCAAAGTACCGAAATACCAAATTAACAAATTATCCAGCCAGAGGAGCACTAAATTATTAACCATGCAGAATTTACTACCTCTCAAGTACATTAGGTTTTGCAAGTTCTTGTTGGATCTTCTTGGTGCCCGCTAAATGATAAGATATTGATGGGCACTTGATGGCAGATGACTGCTCCATAAGTAGCCTAGCATTCCACTCCTGGAAATTGAATGCGGCAACATTCATTTCAGAAGCAAATAAAACAACTTTTTTAAGGTAGATAAAAAGACTTACCATAACTTAAAGTCTTAAACTTGTAAAGATGAGTATTCTATCATAACAGATATGTTGAACGATTCAGGAAATAACCACAGAAACAAGGTCAGAAATTAGAATGTTTCATCATAATGACAAAAATGTTCACTATGTCACAAACCCAATTTCATAGGAAGTAATGTTGAAAACCCAATATTTGGTTTTTAGAGAAGTTACATGATCATTGATCTTAAACAAAATTATTAAGTGCTTACATACTGAGAAAGTAGAAATCATTTGGAAATTTGTCGCGGAACACAAATACAAGACAGGTCTCTCTTAGGTAAAAGCATATTACACAGATTAACCAATAATGACCATGTGGTAAGCTCCATTAACCTCTAATATCTCAATATCTCCCAGTAATGAATAGTGTTAGACTCTCTATGGGGAAAAAGTTGCTTTCCCACACAGAACAAAGAGAGTACATCAAGCAACTGAAAAAGAAGCAGATATTGCTTACTGATTCTGAAGGATAGTCATTTGGAGCATATCCTGCTCTAAAATAGACAACTGCAACTGCTTTTCCATCTCTACAGGTACAAAGCTTTTGAGTTAGATTGGAAATTCTACAGGCATTTATCAGAAATATCAACTATATGAAGTTACATACACAAGAAGTGTGCCATCCTTCAGCAGTTCCCCTTCTTTATCAATTTCTGCCAATGTTTTTCGAATGGTTTTCACATTGTGTGTGTTATCAAGCTAAGGAATATGCTGGTAAACTAATATGCCACCTTCATTTGGTACTGTAAACTATAAAGATTCAAAAGGATATTTTTCCTTCAATAGGGCACAAAGCCAATGTTGGTCATACATGTTGCGTTCTTCACTCTGAACCACAACCATAACTACTGCACTGTACAAAAAGATCACACTTATCAGTCCCATAAACTATTTCTGCTATTGAAGCAGCACAAAAATAAAACCTGTTTTCTAATAATTAACCTGTCATTGTTATATTCAGCCCAAGCTTTTGCCAATGCGTCTGCAAACTGACTGACAGCTGCATTGCCTGGGATCCTCTCAGAATCTAACCCAAGGTCATTTCCATAGTCATTAAGCAAGCTCCTGAAAGGAAAAACAGACCAGTTAGAATTGATAAACTTCCATACCATGCTTTGTTGTTCACTTTTTAGAAAAACAATGTTTTAGGATATAATCAAAGCTCTGTATAATGGTGTATGGAAGCATGATCTTCTACAGTACTTTTGTGTTACATTAATGGTGATAGAAGTATACAGCAAGCAAAAAATTGCAGAAAGCATGAAATGGCCTGTCTCTGTGAGACAGTGAATAAATCATTATGAGATCACAACTCCGAGTCATAGCATTTTTTTCATGTGATAGAAAATCACTGAAGCCACCTTATCAAGGAATTAAACTCTAGTTAAAATTGAAAGAAGAATTCTTTAAACAATTTCCAAAAATTGTTTCAAAAAGATTCCATTCCATAAGAAAATTAGAGCAAAGATATGAAACATTTAAAATTAAAAAGGAAGCCAGGTTAGGAGAAGCTAAGGGAAAATGCATGTTCACTCAACCTGTGAAGCTCACTGACAAGAGAACCGAGACCAGGAAATGAAGATGATATTGTGTTCAACTCTATTTGGAGAAGTAATTTAGTTTGTTCATCAAGCATATAATCTGAGCGATGTAAACCCAAGCATATCTCCTGTTTAAGTGAGTAAGCATGATTAGCATCTTCCAGACCAAAGAAATAAGCATAAGCCCAGTGTAGTGAAAGAGAATGCAAGTATTTCATTTTTGGATTTTATAGCATGAAAAAGATATGAGATTAATACTTACTTTATCTGAATGTAATATGCAGTCATAAAAACATAAAAGTATTTCCTACTAATACATTTGTAGAACCAAGAATGACCCACCAAAAGACCAATTAGCTTCTTTTTCCCCCTTATCTCATAGCAAGAATAAACAAAATGAAGAAACTTTGCAGAAAAAAGAAAGGTGAACGAATAGACTTAATGACAGCGATGAGGCTAGAAGACTTCCACACTCTATTAAAAAAAAAAAAAAGGAGGAAAGTATCAACATGTAATATATGATATTGATATTTAACTGATAAACAGTAGTTACCTCTTTCTTATTCATTTCTACCATCTTGGAATGAATATCCAGAAGTCTTGAAGTAAAAGCATCTACTTTCTTTGTCCTGCAGTGTTAAGCAAATGTAGTATCAGTTTCCGAGCAATCCTGATCTTTTCAGTAAATTGAGAGGAATCAGAAACAGAACTAGAGAAAACCAGGGCCAGAAAAAAGCAAGGCTAAAAGCTGGATAAACAGTGGCTAACAGCACAAGTAAAGGGAATATCTTCTGGAATATCTACGGAGTGACATAGTTCCTAAATGGAGGGCAAGGACAGACAGTACCTAGCCAGTGATTCTTGCAAAAATTTTCCATCCAAACTCACACGATCAACAAGTTCATTCAAAATAGGAGCTAATTCACAAGCTTGCTTCCAGTGTCTTTCTGGAAATGACATGGGCAACAAGGCAAATGGGGCGTGCACCATGCCCACACCAGGTACTTTTCCCGATCTCTGTAATTTGACAGTCATAGATCAAATTCAAGAACAACTAATTCAATTCATACCTTCACATCATTAACATACAGAAAACAATTTTCCTATCCTCCATTGCAAATACCAACAAAACGAGTTTGAAAAATATCAAACATAAAAGGAATGTAAACAAAAGCCAAAACAAGAATTTGTACACCAAATTGTGATCTATGAATACATCAAAAGAATTGAAGTGCTTATTTCATCATCTCGATATTTCCCCTCATCTTTCCCATGAGCCAAACAACCAAAAAAGATGCCTTGAGCGTCCGCTATGATCAACATACAAATGTTCAAGCGTATATATGCCCCTAAATGACCATAGAGATAACTGCAAGAATGCATCTTTGTTAACTAACCTGTACGTTTCTATCTCCCACAACAAGACCATGAAGAGAACTCCAAACAAGAGCATCATACACCATCTTCTGAATCAATTTCTCATCAATACCATGTAAATCAATAACGGGTTTTGCGGCCATTCCTTTCTGAGTATCCATCCCTCTCAGTCTTCCACACTTCAAAGGTAAAATTTTTGGTGTGGAACAAGTAATTGGTGATTCCTGTTTTATGGGGAAGGCAACCTTTTGCAAGTGGGTATTGAAGGTTGAAGAGTTTGGCTTCAAGTTTGACTTTGATTGTGCTTTCAGTGTTGCTGCATCAGTGGTGACAAAAGAAGAGGATGGGGTTTTCAAAGAAAGGGTGGAATAGCGAATTCCCATTTTGACTCTTCTGCTGTTCTCAAAAGATCTTTTAAGATGGTAGCCTGGTGTACCTCTACCAAGTTGATGACTAGGTTCAACTTCTCCACCCCCAATTATAACCTTGTAAATAAATAAATTTAAAGCTGCTTTTGTAAAGAGGAATTTTGATTATCATATAAAAAAAATGTTATGCTCTCTGAGACAAGAATATATAATAAATAATTGTTTTTTTATCTCATAATAATTATTTTTTATTTTTTT